CTGTGGCGGGAAAAGAGAGAGAGACCTGGGTTAGATATTTATGATTTGCGAGTTTGGATTGTTTTTGTTTATAAATGGTAAGTGGTTTAATGTCTATTTGGAGATTAAGCGACACTGTCCATGTCGAGGGATTGTTTACAGAATAATTTATAGCCCATTTCACGTTCCAGATGTTCACGAACGTCAACACAACTGCGGCGGGAAAAGAGAGAGAGGCCTGGGTTAGATATTTCAGATTTGCGAGTTTGGATTGTTTGTTTGTTTATAAATGGTAACTTCAGTAGTCTACTGTTCATGTCGAGGGATTGTTTATAAAATCTATATCCCATTTCACGAACGTCAACACCACTGTGGCGGGAAAAGGGAGAGAGGCTTGGGTTAGATATTTCTGATTTGCAAGTTTGGAAAGTTTGTTTGTTTATAAATGGTAATTTCGGAATGGTTTACTGTCTGTTTGGAGTTTAAGCGACACTGTCCATGTCGAGGGATTGTTTATAGAATAATCTATATCCCATTTCACGTTCCAGCTGTTCACGAACGCCAATGCCACTGCGGCGGGAAAGGGAGAGAGGCCTGGGTTAGATATTTCTGACTGCGAGTTTTGAATGTTTGTTTGCTTATAAACGGTAACTTCGCAGTGGTTTATTCTCTGTTTGGAGATTAAGCTACTTCACTAGTCTAGTCTCCATGTCGAGGGATTGTTTATACAATAAATTATATCCCATTTCAAGTTCCAGATGTTCACGAACGTCAACACCACTGCGACGGGAGAAGATCTGGGTTAAATATTTCTTTGGAATATTTATTTACTATGGTACTTTCGAAGCCACTTAAAAAACGTTTGGAGAATAAGTCACATAAGTAATATACTGACCAGGCCAAAAGGTCGTTTATAGAATGATCTATATACCTTGCAAAAAAGTAATAATGAATAAAAAATAATAATAAAAAAAGGAAATGCACAACACCACCTTTGGATTCTGACAATTTGAAACGTTTATTTACAGAACAATTTTCGCGAACCGGAAAAATACCAGAGGAGATGGTTTTAGCATCTATCCAAACTAACAGCTGACATTGATTCGGACAAAGCCATCAGTCAAACATTACGTGCGTGTGGGCGTGTGTGTGTGTGTGTGTGTGTGTGTGTGTGTGTGTGTGTGTGTGTGTGTGTGTGTGTGTGTGTGTGTGTGTGTGTGTGTGTGTGTGTGTGTGTGTGTGTGTGTGTGTGTGTGTGTGTGTGTGTGTGTGTGTGTGTGTGTGTGAGTGTGTGTGTGAGTGTGTGAATACCAGTTTGTCTGCCTCGCATTTGCTAGTCTTAATTCCATTTGTAGAGAAAAAAATACATGAAGTGGTCGTTGTGGTTTTCAAATTCAAAACAAATAAAACACAAAATAAATTTCAAAAACACATTCTTTTTACATACTATAATAAACACTGAAGAAGGGGAGGTGGAGATGGAGGAGGAGGGAGAGGAGGAGGAGGAGGAGAGGAGGAGAAGAAGAAGAAGAAGAGAAGAAAGAAGAAGAAGAAGAAGAAGAAGAAAGAAGAGAAGAAGAAGAAGAAGAAGAAGGAGAGAGGAGAAGGAGAAAAAGGAGAGGGAGAAGAAGAAGAAGAGGAAGAAAGGGGAGGAATAATGGAGGAGGAATGGCGGCGGAAGCAGCGGGGCAGGAAACAAAGAGGGAAAGGGGCAAAGATAAGGATGGGGAAAAGGGAGAGCGGGTAGAGGAGAAGGGTAGGGACAGGAAAAGAGTGTTGATATGAGAGAGAGGAGAGAAGAGGAGAGAGATTCATTACTAATTATAGTACCTGATTTCAAAAAGCGTCAATAGGACCAGTATAATTGCTTTGTCGAGCGCAAGCAAAAAGAACAAACTAGACAATTAAAGATCAGAAGAGGAAACAAGAAAGAGCGAGGAGGAGCAGGGAAAGGGGAAGGGACAATGCGCGCAGACTCGCGGGAAAAAAGGCAAAGGAAAGAAAATGGGACGGAGGGAAGGGAAAAGGGGGAAAGGGAAAAGAAAGGGGGAGGGGAGGAGAGAAAAAAACTAGGCAGAGGGACATAGCGTAAGGTGACAAAGACCACATTCTCCGGAACGAGAAAAAACAGCGAAAGGACGAAGGAACACAGGCAACGGAGAAGAAAAGGGGAGTCGGAGAAACCCAGACGCGACCGATGGTATCGACGAGCAATGTAAGGCGGGTCCAGTAGCGCCAGGAACAGAGCGACCAGGGAAGCGGCAGCAACAGGATAGACGGATTGGGCCAAAAACGAAGATGGGAGAGACAAAAAGAAGGGAGGGGAAGACGGATGGGGGAGCGTGAGAGAAGGTGGCCAAATACATGAGGGTCATATGATATGAGGATTGTACTGAGGGAAAAAATAAGGTTTTAGTCAATAGGTAACAGGAGAGAATGTGGGGCATACGATTAAGGGCACTAGAGGGGGGAACTGGAAATAGGATGCGGGTGAGTTGTGTGGTTTAAGGTACAGCATGTGGTTGAGAGGCAGAGGTAATCATGGGGTAATATGATGTTTATCTTATTTATCTTAATGAGAGGTGTAACGGAAGTTGATGGTGGGTAAAGGATGAGAAGGAGGAAAGAGCATGGGGACGAGAAAAGCAGATTGGAAGAGTGCTAGGGGCCCGATAAGGAAACGAAGGAAAAGGAAGAGAGAAGACGGAGGAAGGGAAAAGGCGGAAGAGAGAGAGAGAGAGAGGAGAGCCAGAGAGGAGGAGAGAAGAGAGAGAGAGAGAGAGAGAGAAAGAGAAGAGAAGAAAGCGAGAAAGGGGGGAGTAGATGGAGAGGTGAGAGAGAAGTAGCAGAACGACGAACAAACGAAGAGAGAGGTTTATTGGAGGAAGTGCGAAAATAATGAGAAAAAAGAAACGGAAAAAAATTAAGGAAGTGGGTGAAGAGAAGAGCAAGGGAAAGGCAGCATAAGGAAGAAAAAGAGGGAGGAAAGAGGGGTTTTTGGGGGAAAAAAGTGGGAAGAAGAAAAGAAGGAATTTGAGAATGAGCAAGAGAAAAGGATGAAAAAAAGATCGATATGAGGGAGAGACAAGGAAGAGGAAGAAAAATAATAAGAGAGAGAAGGACAAGGAAGAGAGGCAGGAGGAAAAGGGAGGAAGAAAATGAACATGGAGAAAGACGAATAGAAATGGGGGTAGGTTTGGAGGGACTTGTTGGGGTATAGTGTTTTTAGAAGAGAGTGAGGTGAATGAGAAAGAGCAGAGAGAGGGAAAACACACCCTTCACTGCCTAATCTTTAGAGAAAGCGGCACTGAGCCAAAAAGCTGTTTATGAGTCCGCACAAAACAGCAAGTACATCTTTAAACTCGCCTATAAATATAGGTTTTTCCTCCGCTTTCCTACGTCTACTGCTTTCGGCCTTTGAGAGGGGTACCTTTTGCTTTTGAATACCCTCGTATGAGCGACATCAGAGGGGGGAAAGGAGGAGCGAGATGTAGGAGGCGGGGAAAGTGTGGATGCGGCAGATCGCGACAGTGTGGAGTTTTATGTGTGTGAGAGTATGAAAATCAACATAAGAGTTGCACTCTAGTTTTTTTTTATATGTATGTTTAGCCTATTACCTATTAATAATTACTATTTCTACTGTAAGTTTATTAAGCCTTAGTGTGTGATAGTTGTGTGTTGTGTGATGGTAGTGACTGAATGGGTGTGTGTGTGTGTGTGTGTGGCTGTGCGTCGTAGGGTCCGCCGTGTTGTTGCGTGCGCGTGTTGCGTTTGAATGCGCGTCGTGAAATGCCTTGATAGAGTCGTGGTTCGCTGCCTTGTTGCTCGTCTTCGCCTCGTGTGCCATCAAAATCATTATAAAATGAAAAAGTGATTAAAAGTAATAAAATAATTAGAGATAAAAATTAGTAGGAATAAATTTAATTATTCCGTGGGAATTATCTTCAAAGGGATTTTATAAATATATTTTTTAATAACTAATACTGAGATAAAATTATTAAGGTTTTACTAAAAATCAAATGTTACTCAACAATCATCGCTTCTCTATGTGTGATTGATGGATGTGCTAATATTAGAAATAAGTAGTGTACAAGAGCATAACTAGGAAAATAAATGTTTACTACTAATGATAAATGCTCTAAGTTTTCTCCATTTCCCCACTTTCAATATATTATTATTAGATTGACTCAGCTGAAACCTACACGATTAAGAGTTTTAATAAACAAAAATCGCACAGTGAATTAAATAGAAATTATCTATCGTGCTTGTGGATAAATTTAATGCCTTTGGGATTGTTATTGGTTGAACTACACTCGCATACTCTCGTATTAAATTTAAATAAATATTAAATAATAATGAATGTTTATATATATTGTATAATTTAATGTTTAATAATATGTAATTATATTAGATGCTCAGGCAAATGATTATGCCTAACAACAAACTCAAAATTTAATGTAATTAAATGTAATATATTATATGTACATACATACTCTAATATTCTCATATGATATATATGTTATGTATAAAGTATATTGTATATAAATATATATAATTTAATGTTTTAAAACAACACACTAACCAATAAGAAAAACAACAAAGATTATAGATTTATTTAGATATAGATATCTGCCAAAGAAAATTTGTAAGCATTGAGACCTTTTGAGAGACCATCTCGAGCGCAAATTTGCAATTAAAGAACGATAAGGCATAAGAAGGCCTACAACAAGAAGCTCAAAAAAAAGGAAAAATGTAATGCCGAAACCAATAGACAGAAACAGAACAAGAAAAATAGCAGCCCCAGAACAGACACAGGCTCCAGACCACAGAACAGGCCAAGACAAGTTCCAGGGCAAAACCGACCATACCCAAGGCCAGGCGCCGAGGGAACCAAAACCACCACAGCACACCAACCGCCACAAGGTCAGAACCAAATACAAAAACAATAACAGAACATACAAACCAAAAATCACCAATTGAACCACACACACAAACAAACGAAGGGCCAGAAAAAACCAGGA